CTGCATATGTATTTCTGGTTTCCTTCTTAAGCAATCCTGTGAAAGATTAATCTGTAGTAAATCTTAGTCTGCATTCTGAACAGATAACAATAAAGTCTTGTATTTGATGAATAAGTATGAAAACAATTTATCTTCTTACAAACCATAATAGTATTTTTGCACGAAGTACAAGGAAAATCATTTCATTTTACTCCCACATAGTACTGTGTGGCTGTACCTGTTTTCTTTAAATTCAAGTTTAGGGTTCACAGAGTATCAGGCGTTAGTCTAGGTTGAAACTCCAGTACAGTGCTGGGGTGTGTTGCATGTTAGAGGTGTCATCCTTCAGATGAGACGTTAAACCAAGATCCTGTTTTCCTTTTCAGGTAGACATTAAAGATCCCATGACACAATTCAAAAAGAGAAAGGAATTTCTCCTCGTATCTTGAGCAATTCCCGAGATAAAATTGGTCATTCATTTCATGGTTGTTGGTGGGACATTGAGGTGTGCAAATCAGCTGCCGTGTTCATCTACAAACCATACAAAAACTACACTTTACAGTAAATCCTGTGAACCGCTTTGAGAATGTCCCACCTTGAAATACCTACGTGAAATATCGAAAGAGTTAAATGTGCACTTCTTTAACCTTCTGTATATGAAAGTATTAAGTAGAGATTGATAGAGCCTGAAGGATGCATTTTCTATAAAGCTGAAGGCTGAAGATTTAAACCCCAGTATTGTGCAGAATTGCTTTTTCATTAAATGTAAAAATCCATCCTATACACATCAAGAAAAAAAAGATACTGTCCAGAGCATCGCTATCCCCGATCAGTACAAACAGAAAGCTGGCTGCCCACTGAGCAGAACTGCAAGTTGCAAGATTTTAAATGACATTCCATTATAATTCTAGTATTTCAGTCAATATAATGCATACTTCAGAAATAAACACCACAATCACACATATTCTTTTAGTGAAGATAAACTGTTGGATTAACTTTCTTAACAGAGAAGTGCAGTTTGCCCAAATGTATCAGAGCAATGCAGTTGTACAGTTATCCCGATTAGCGCTGATATCATACGTAGGGGTCAATAGCATTCCGAAGAAACAAGGCTTATGAAAATCCTGTTGTATTAATCCTTTTACAAACCTCAGAAATCAAGCAACTTCCTGCAGAGTGCCTGGAACCTTGTGAGGAACGTTGCCATTAGGAAAGAAGGTGTAGATTATGGGGACAATATGTTGCAAAAAATAATCCTTTGAATCAACAATAGCATTAGATGCACAATAGCTATCAACGGCAAGAAAGAATGTGGAGCAAGCTACTCTCCCAATCAATCACATCAAGGAAAACACTGACAGACAATTTGTCCACACTCTACTCTTATTAATTTAGATCAGATATTTATCGCCAAACTGAATGCCTTTGAAATTCTTACTTTTAGTCTAATTAGTTTAAAACCCATTACTGTGGTCAGAAAATCCATCGCATGTACGATGAAGCGTCCAAGCCATACTTATCACCACGGTTTACCTCTCCTACGACACTCCCTTTAGTTTCAAATAATCACAATTGAGGTTTTAAATTTGTCTTGGCAAACAGGACACACACACACACACCAGTAAACTATTAAAATAATAATTCAAACATACAGAGGCTGCTGGAGACAAATATTGGTAAGGTTGTATGAGCTTGGTTCAACCTTAAGTTCTGTGTTTCATAATAGCTTTTTGAAATGAATTATTTTAAGAGCATATCGTTAATTTTAGGTTATTGATTTAGAAGTCTGCAAAGAATTACTGCATAACTGATATCAAAGAGTCATGGACACATGATTTTTTACAGAGCAAATCATTACAGAAATTACAATTATGCTTGATTTGGTTGCTTCTCTATAACTTCACATTTAACACAGTAGGTTAGGGAGAAAAGATAATACATAATATAATAATAATCCTTGCATTTGATATAGCGCTTTTCACATCTTCTCGACGTCTCAAAGTGCTTCACAGTATAGACTGTAAAGTGAATTGGCCGTATATTTGTGGGCGAAACTTGTATAGGTCACAAAAGTAGAAATAATTGCTAGGATGTAACAATAGATTTGCCGATGGCAAACAATTTTCATATTAAATAGCAATAACAACAGAACCAGCCAGCGATAACTCTCAGAAGGATAGACGTGTCACAAAACTGACCCTCACAGCAGCCAGAAGCACAGAAAGGCGAGGTTCAGAGATTGCCTCGAGTGCCAGTAGGCATATCACTGACTTCCTATAGCCCGATGCACGCTCCAACGGCCCTGGCTCAGCCTTCATACAGGAGACGGGGCTCAATGCGATGACACTGCCTAGGAGAGTTTCCCATTTAAACATAATAGCACGTGAAGCTTCACGAATGGCATTCGATGAAGACTTAGAGAACACATAAAATAATTCTCTTATTTTAACCATATGATTATGTTGGGCGGGGTTTATTTATTTGAGCTCCTTTGAGTTGCTGGAATCACGACTGATCAGAAAAGTCAGCAGCTGTGTGGACATCAGAATTTGTATCAACAAGTCATGAACTGACCTGGAACCATCTTTGACGCAATCAAGCAAATCTTTGGGGGAGATCTAGGCTTTTCGATGGTTGGAAAGTTAGCTGTCACGAGTTGAATTTTGGTCAAACAAACCAGTTTTCCTTCAGAAAAATCTTAAGTCACACCCTCAAAGTGCATGGAATGTATAAGGAAAAGTAAAACTTAAGGTAGAAAAATAGAAGAGATAGAGAAAAGAGAAGACTCAAGAATTGGAGGCACAAAAAGCAACATTATCCACGACAAAATGTTCTCAGTTATTGTTAATAGGGCATTCTTTAGCATACATCACTTTGATACAATTTTGGCAGCTTGCAATAAATCTCTCTTCCTTATATTTAGCAACAACACAAATCTTCAAGGTCTTTCTTTACATTCGCTTTGTTAAACACAAAATATTTTTGGCATTTTGTTAAAATAATACTGATATAGTCTTCCTTTGGGCGGAGGGGGTTGGGGGGGAAGGCACCATAGGGTTAATAATAATAATAATAATAATAATAACCCCAATATGAATCTGGCTGGATGACGAGAGGGTGAGTTATAGTGAGGCTCATAAGTGGAGACATTTGTTCCATCAAACAATAGGGAACTTTGTCACTGGGAGATTGTACCTGAACTGACATGACTCCACGCAATTGTTATCAATGTTCTGAATAAAGCTCACCCACACAGCCATATGTTACACTTGTCGTGATGCCATGACTGGTAAGTGATCATACAGTTTGAATAAGATTTATGTTGTCACGTTACATGCTTCTAAAAAAAAATGTTTTTAAAAAAATTGTCATCTTCATCAAGAAAAATGCCTCCTCTCGAAAAAAAAATCTATTGACTTTGAAACACTAAACGCAGCCTCTGCACCAATAACTTGTATCAATCAATCAGTCCAAGATATTTTGCACATTTCTTGAAACAATCAAGCCTGATAACATGGTTTCTTTCCATATTATCGTGGAACAAACAGGTTCTGAAAATAAGATTCATCCAAGGACGTTTCTGTAATCAAATTTGTCCATGAAACTGCTAAAAGTGGCAGAGCAACCAAAGGGTGAAATCTTTTTCTCACTCCCCTCCCAATTCACAGCTACCAGTTAGTATTCTACTGCCCATCCACTCTCGTCTCCGACCCCAAATTTGTCAATTTAGAAAAATAATAACCTAGACCACAGGATGTTTAATATATATATAATACAATACATAAATAATGGATCACTAAAATTCAGACACATAAAGCATCATTTGGTATATGGTCGGCTAATCTGTAACGTCAACTTGAAATAATTCTGAATGTGTATATTGTTGGAATATATTTCAATTCCAACAACGTCTGGCAAAAGGAGTTGAGAGTCAATGAAATGGAAAGGGATCACACCCAGAATTATACAGTGCTTGGATTTCTCCTTGTTAAAAAAAAAGCTTTGCAAAGTATAGCAATTACTTGGGGGGGTGGGGGTGGGGGGGGAGACAGACACACACACACACACACACGAGTGAACAGCTTATGAGATGTAAAGTTTGCAGAGGGTGCAAATGGTGCAACTCATATCCATCCTCTGGAGAACCAGAGAAAGAGCGACATGGAAATATCAATGTAAAAACAAAATCAATGGAACTATACAAATATATATATATATAAGCAAATAAATAAACAAACAAAAACACATGCAAGCACAGTTTTAAAAAAAGGTAAGAATTCCGTCAAGCAGAGAGGAGGGGGAAATCTACTCGAGCTGTGTACAGTGTGTGTGTGTGTGTGTGCATCAAATATGTAGCGCACCAAATAACTAGTGGTCGCCAAACGCAAGGGAGAAAGAGAGAGAGAGGGAAAGAAAGAAAGAGAGAAAGAAAGAAACAGACAACAGCGATGTGTTCTGCAGAGCCAGAGTTATTGCTGAGATCCCAAATTCTGGAAAGCAATCGACTGCATAAGCATAAAAAACAAGGTTCATCTCTTGTTCTCAGCCCAGTTTCCCCCAACGATTAAAGGGGGAAACAGAGCCCTGATTTTTTCTCTCTCTCTCTCTCTATATATATATATGTGTGTGTGTATATCTGAGTCTCATCATAATAATATGAAAAGTACATAAGGCAAGTTTGATTAAAGCTAAAAACGAGTTGCAAAGTGGGGGAGGGAGAGAGGGAGGGAGGGGGAGAGGGGGGATTTGGGGGTTAGAGTTTGTGGGGGTGGTGTGTGTGTGGGGGTTGACACATACATCAATGCTTAAGGCTAATTGGCAGTTGCAACAGGGGATCATTTTCCTTTGGAAAGTCACAGGGGAGGTTGGGAGTCGATGAATCGAAACGCAACCCTTCAGAAAGGGGAGACAGATCTTTTTTTTTTCCCCTTCTTTCTTTCTTTTTTTCTTTCTTTTCTTTCTTTTTTTTTAAAAATTATTTTTCTTTCTTCCAGCATCGCCCTCATATTATTTGCCCTTACCTTTCAGCAAGTCCTGGCCTGCGGAGAGACTCCTGGAGATGGAGAGAGTGTGTGCATCTTCTGAAAATCCAACCCTACAAGAGGACACAGGCTCTTCTGGCTGCACCGCTGTTGCTGCTCCCTGCCATGATCAAGCAGAAATAAATTCCCATTTAAACTTATTTGCTGGTCTCAACGTGTTGGGATCACAGAGATTTTTTTTCCCCCTTCTCTCTCTCTCTCTCTCTCTCACTCTCTCTCTCTCTCTCTTTCTCTCTCTCTCTCCCCCATCCTCTCCTCTCGTATCTATTTATTAATAATAGATAGATTTAAAAAACTATCTCTCTCTCTCTCTCTCTCTCTCTCTGTCTTTCTCTCTCTCCTCTCCATCCACAACACAACATATTCTGACACCACCATCACCATCACCACCACTTCCAAAGGAAAAAAAAACATTTGCAGAAACAAATATTACGCATAATTCAACACGAGCCAGTCTTGTGCAAGTGTTAGCAGAAAGCAAAAATATATTTACATTCCTTTTTTTGGGGGGTGAGGGGGGAGTGGGGGGGACATCATCATTCAGTCTTTGGCTTTAACCATTAAGTAAGTGCGTCTTAATTCGGATCGCAAAGTCACCCCCGACGCAGAGACACACACAGACCCCCCACCACCTCCCCACCTCCCCACCCACCCACCCAGTACAACAAGCACACAGTTAACAGTCACAGTCCACCCGCAGTTTAAACCTCCCCCAAATAAAATAAAAATAAAATAAAATAAAATAAAATAAAATAAAATAAAATAAAATAAAATAAAATAAAATAAAATAAAATAAAATAAGTGTTTTCTCTCACCCGAGCAGAGCAAAGGAGCAAAACGATGAGAAGGCTGGCGGCGGGGATGAGCATTCTCGCCAACTGCACACCCCCCACCAAAAAAAAAAGTCGGACAAAGTTTTTTAGATATATATATATATAGGTGTGTAATATATATAAAAAAATGTGCCCCTCTCGTCTCTTTGTTTCTCTCTCTCCCTCTTCTCTCTCTCTGTGTGTGTGTGTGTCTGTGTCTTTCTCTCTCCTCTTCTTTTTCTTTAGTAGCAGCAGCAGCAGCAGTAGTAGTAGTAGTAGTAGTAGTGGCGGTGCCGATGTCAGGTCTCCATCCAATAAGAGGAAGTACAGTACAGAGGAGGAGGAGGAGGATGGAGGTGGAAGGGATACAGGCAGAGGGAGCAGAGGCTGGAGGTACCCGCTGGTGGTCGCGTTGGGTTGCGCTCTGCTCTGCGCAACGCAGCGCTGGTCTGGGCAGTGCTGTGCTGTGCAGCTCTGGTCTGTGTTGTGCAGTGCAGCTCTGGTCTGTGCTGTGCAGCTCTGGTCTGTGCTGTGCAGTGCAGCTCTGGTCTGTGCTGTGCAGTGCAGCTCTGGTCTGTGCTGTGCAGTGCAGCTCTGGTCTGTGCTGTGCAGTGCAGCTCTGGTCTGTGCTGTGCAGTGCAGCTCTGGTCTGTGCAGTGCAGTGCTGTGCAGTGCCTCTCTCTCCTCTCTCCCTACCCCTGGCTCTTGTGTCAGTTTCACGCTGCAGGTGCGCACCTCTCAACCAACTGCGCCGTCAGCACGTCACCAACTCCCTCCCATAGGAGCTGATAGACATGGCAAAGCTCTCTCTCTCTCTCTCTCTCTCTTCCCCTCTCTCTCTCTCTCTCTCTTAGCCAACCACCACCACCACCTCCCCTTTTTTTTCTCTCAATGTGTATTAACATGACAATACAGGTAGCAAAGCCAGTGCTGCTGCTGCTGCTGTTGGCATAGAGTAACCTTTTTTTTTCTCTCTCTCTCTCACTCTTTCTTTCTTTCTTTCTTTCTTTCTTTCTTTCTTTCTTTCTCGCTCTCTCTCTCTCTCTCTCTCTCTCTCTCTCTCAAGGGGTACGGCAAATCGACCTATTAGCGCTTTGGGAGAGAGACGCTTTTCCTTGCGTTCGGGACTCCGGGTCTTGGAGATGTCTCAAAGCGCTTCACGGGATTATGCGGTCAAGCGAATCGACTGTATGTTTTCAGAATCTTCGGAGGGAGGGAGGGATAGGATATGAGTACATTTATTTTCACTGCCGCGGAGTTCAGAAGAGGTCAAGATTTCCCCTTGCATTTTTAGGAATCAGACTTATGACTGGATACCGCAAATACATTTTTACTTAAGATGCACTGATCTCTGCTGTCTGTACACACACTGTGCAGCTGATTATTCCTACATAGTGTACCAGACAGTACACAGAATCACGGAAATAATAATCTTTTACATCTCTGCATCATCCTCCTATGGAAGAACCCATGGCATTATTCAAAAAGAGAAGGGAGTTTCTCTTGGTGTCCGGGCCAACAATCCCCCAAATAAAATTGGTCGATCATTTCAAGACTGTCTGTGGGACATCATCCACAAGCTACAGTCAATGCACTTTACAGTATTTCCTGTGAAGCACTTTGAGATGTCCTCTCAATGTGAAAGGCATTATATCAAAATAATGGATTATTATTATTAAAGATGAGTGTTGAGAAATCATAATCCATGACTTCTCCTGTACAAATATTCCTCATATGCCCTGCTCTCATTCAACTGACACTACTCCAGTTATTCTTACCCCCAAATGGCTCCAGGAACATTTCCCCCAAAGTGGGCCTTTTTGTTTAGGTCGAAATCCAGGCAATGATATTAAGACATTTTTTCTGATTTTCAGTTAGAATATCACATGGAACGACAAGGAAAGGAAACAGACTACTATATTAGGTTTACCTAGTCCATGCCGGAAGTTAGTTTAGTATTGCGGCCCTCTGATCTCCAGTTCTTCAGTTAAAGATCTATTCCCGCAAGACTTATTGATTTATTTTTCAATCAACATCCATCAATGTCAGTCCCAGGGAATCCATACAATTTGCAAACATGACAGATCATAGTGTCTCCATTGAATGTTTGGTACGAAAGTAACGGAGGGCTTTTGAACCGCATTGATTGCTTTACTTAATTTAAAATTCCTGACAATTTTTAAGAAAAATTAATTCAACCCTACACTCAGAAGTACAAGGGTCTCCCCTTTGCAATTTCTCCCTCCATTCAATTCATCAGTAAAATACTTCAGTTGCGTATTAGAAAAACGTGAGACATGCTCAACCTGTGGCGGATCTGAAATCCCTTAACTGTTTACGTCAAAACCAAATATTTCATTATAATTGATTCATCTTAAATGGCAAAACTGGCATTTACGCTCCCTGGTGCAGCTTTCTTTCACCTAAATCACAATAAATTGTTTGGATTATTTATCATGTGAACAATTATTTCAAAGGAACATTTAATATTGTTTGGTCTCCATGGTCACAAAAGCTAACATGTCTAGAGTTGTCGCTGTTTTTTTTTAGTATTTGTCTGCTGAATTATCTAGATCATAATTTGCTCATAATAAACTCCCTACGAACCCATTGTCTTGTACATTAGAGTACTTTGCCATTTGTTTAATGGCGCTGAGATATGGTGTCAACATTTAAGGCCAATTCTGGCTCCCTTCCAACTTACTAAAGCTTTTGATTAACATCCAGCACTCTGGAAAATTAATTTGGGGAATACTTCTTTCCAGACGAAAATAGTGCTTCTTGATGTTCGAGTAAGTTACTATAAGTTACTCCATAGGTACAGTGGCACTTACTAAAATATTTGAAAAGGAGATGCATAAGAAGTATTGGGGAAAGACAGAGGAATGGGATGAAACTGATAGCTCTTTCAGAAAGCCAGCATAGACTAATGGTCCTCGGTCATTTATTCCTCTTCCACCATAATTATTTGTAGGGATACCTGTGATGAGTTTTTGATTACTTTTTTGATCGTCAAAAGAAAACAAATTGTAAAACAAAGTATGGAGCACAACAAGACCATTCAGCCCATCAAGGACACTCATTCCATTAGGCTATCTCTTGTATTGGTCTGTGCTGGACTCTCTCTCCAAGCTAAATGATCTCCTAAAAGAAAGTGAATAATCATTAAATAACTTCCTAGAAGTTAATGACATTTCTCCCTGACCCGTAAGTGTAATTGAGCACAATTCAGATAACCAATCTAATATAACATACAGAAGGAGAATAAATAAAGGGCCTGAAAATTCAAACAACCAACCTTAAACATTTCTTTTCTTTCAACACAGCACGTTGCATCAACTGTTTACTCGTCTACAAATTTGTGTTAGAGAAAACTATTTATTGATTCACACAATCGCTACATTCTTAGACGTGAAAAACAGTAAACAAAACCACAATATAATTGACACATTGTCTGTGACGCTACATTATCTCTAAGTCTGAATGCCCCCATTGTATTGTTGATCAACACAATACTGCCTATTGCAACATTCAAGACTTAACCTTTCTTTTGAACAAATGCCATATATTTTGTACCAACAAAGAAACGAGGCAGATGTTTGTACTTCCCCTCTCCCATTATGAAAAGATGAATTTTTCAATTTGTTATTACTTGCTTCTATTCTTTTGCTATTCTGTGAATGACCACTTGCAAAATCCATATCTTTGAACAAAACTGGGCATCAAAAGCGCAAGTTATCTTGATGAAATATTTTCATCTCACTCTTTGCAGAATCTCATAAACCAAGTACACGGCATGTGCTTCATTGCAATATAATAACACTTACATATGCATAGCGCCTCTCACGTTGGGAGAACATCTCAAATCTTTGATTAGTTAATTAAACGCATTGAGATCAGTAACGTTTCGTTTGACTTTTTTCTATTTTTGTTCCCTCATTTCATTGGCATGTTGCCAAGTTTTTTTGTGGTATCTTGTCAAGACCAGGATTGAAATGTAGCTAAATGTTAGGGAACTTTTCTTTCCCTCAAAATTAGTTTGGTTCTGGTGATTTCTGGCTACCATGTGTACTTCAGACACAACAGATTGGCACTTCATTGTAGTTCATTTTTGTATGTTTTTCTTTATTTGCACAATTTGATCAGCAACATGGCTCCTGTCGTTAAAACAGAAAGTGACAATAATTGGTGACGCCACTTGAAATCGATCAATGGTGAAATAGATACAGTGGATGCAATGAGATTTTAAAAAATGCACTGAAGCAAGTTATGCTGACATGACGATGATGGAAATGAAGATTTGAATACCAATGAGATGTCTTGCTTACACTATCTATCCATCAAGAAGACACTTTAGGTAATTCACTTTTCATATAGGAAATAGTGGAGGTTCAATAAATACAGTAAATGATTGGTCTCCAAACCGACCAATTGACATTAATATTTATTCAGTGGATGAGTTCCAAGGCCTTTTTATTTTAGCGCACCCTACCACATTCTCTCCAGTGATAGCAGAATGAAAGAGATAGTCTCCCTGGCTCCATAGAAGTGCACAGTTAATACAAGTATATTAAAAAGTGGTATGGTGCTTAAAGCAAAAAATAAACCTGAGTACGACCTAGAAGTAAGCATTTACTGCAAAGGTACCTTTTAATTAAATTGTAGATCAGTTGTTTCATAAAATTCCCTTTATACCTTAATAAAGACACCCAAATATTTGTATATAGATATATATATCTATAAAAATAAATTTAAATCCATATCTAGTATTCTTCACAAAAATAACTCTTTTAGACTTTTTTGACAGTGAGCCACTGTATTGGTAATCACGTACACATGCAACTAAATTCTGTGAGGTCAGATTTTACTTCAACAGATTCTTGTTCATTAATAATTAAGGAGAGTGAACATTACCTGTAAAAACAATGCAATTTTTGTAAAATAAAGTCCACTTGTTCAGCTTCACTTCCCTGGGATTGTGACTATTTATAGCTCTGGTCACTATATTAAAGTTAAAAAAGAATATCAGTCAGAAAACATCAAAAATGTAGAGAATCTGGCTGAAGACCTGGTTAACAAACATGGAGAAGT